TCAAATATCAACTTATGCAATCGCTGATCTCTAAAAAATATTCAAAAATCCAAGAAGAAAAAGAGTTTATATTAAGAGAGGAAAAGAAAATGCTTAGTCTAGAAATATATTAAAAGGGTACCAACTTTGTTGTCATCTTCCATTGACTTCCATTGGGTGAATAACTTGGCGATGAGGCACCTTTGAAGGTCTTTGGCGTCAAAACCAGGTTCACTGACCTAAGAAATTCAAATAAAAGCACAAGAAGGAAAAGGAAATAAGCATGAAGAAATTAGCAAAGACTTTGAGGAAAAGCTTCAGTGAAACAGTTCCATGTGTCATAAAACTTAGCAGTAGCAGGAATACAAAGTAAAACAGAAGTCAGAAACATATACCATGATAAAATTAAAAAAGCAAAAGGATAAAACAAAGGAAACTGACTTCTTTTTTATTTTCCTTTGACCCTTATCTTGTGAGGGAATATGAACTGATTCAACTGAAGCACTCTTCAAGGACTTTGTGAATAACCCTGGTTTTGTTAACCTGGATACAACAAAGGTAGCATGATCTACCAACTACAACCTAAAAAAAGGAACACTATTTGAAGTTTAAACTAGCAACCAGCACCATCATAGATCTTCACATTAGATTATTTTTATTCCCATGAATGGGGGGGAAATGGGGTTAAAGACAGAATTAGGCAACAGTAAACAACAGTAGTAAGACATAATGAATCACCAACTTTCTTGATGTCTTCCATGGACTTCTATTTTTTGAAGAAGTCGATAATGAAGAAGAACACTCTGGTGAACTTGAAGTCAAATCAAGCTCTGATGACCTGAAACAACGTAGATAGAGGAACGAGAAACAAATATCAGTAATTCATCTCATCTCATAGCAAAAAAGATGGCACCAAAAAAAAAGGAAGAAGATAATTAAGAGATACTAACTTGCTTGTTTTCTTCCATTGTCTTCTATTTTGTGGAAAGATAGTCAATGGCACACTTCCAAAGGACTGTGACATCAAAACGGGTTCTTGTGATCTGAAATAACACAAAAATAGCACATATAAAATAAGGCATGTATCTGGGCAAATACCAGAAACTCAGTGAAAACTATAAACAAACATCAAACAAGCATTTCCTTACAACGTTGTCATGTTTAATTTCATATCGTAATTCAGTTATATATGCTACAACAGAAAACTGAATAAAATGAATCTATGTGGAGTGTGTTTGCTGAATAATATCAATCAAGTAAATTTAACATGTCTATTTTTTACCATGCACCGATCAGTTACAGCTGAATGGACATTGAAAACCTAATCAATACCATAGACAGAATCACAGGTTTCGATCTAACACCATCAAGGGGTAATACATTACATGATAATTAATTGTAATAAATGCTAGGGTACCACGGAGAGATGGTGCAAATTGCAAACGGTGTAGATAACCCAGTCATAAAACTACAAATTCAGACACAAAACAGTGCAGTTGCCAAGCTAAAAGAAAATTCAACAAATGACGAACATCAAGATGATCCCTACCAAACTCTATTGCAGAAGAGACATCAATTACTATTTTTTTACAAGTAATGCTTATGTGAAAGTATACCTAGCTCGTGCACTGGGTGCACTCTTGGAGCTGCACTGAGCTTTCTTTGACTCTACACATGAATTGCAGAGTGGCCCAATTTGGCCAACATGTATAACAGGAAAGGAACCTGGAAACAAGAAAACGGAAAAAGAATAAGATCCCAATACAATCAAAATCATTTTTGTCACTTGCCTCTGTCAATACTAATGAATTAACAAGAAAAAGTAGCCACCCTTGCATCTTCTACAAGTGAAATATTTTTGCTCAGGTAATGCGCTAAGGATATTTTGAATTGTTGCTTCTAACATGTGCAGTGGTCTTCTCCTGCATGCCCTCAACACATCAAGCAGGCTCTTCCCATTTTCAAAGCAGATATACTGTGATGCACGTTTGTATTGTTTACAAGCATGAATCTCGAATTGGGAAGGTGGAACAACCTACATTGAGAAACAAAGTGGCAGCAAGAAGTTCAATAACAGCAATTATAACTTCATGGAGTTACATGTCCAACACTGCAACTTAGGGAAGGAACTCCTTACTCTGCATCCCTTGCACAAGGAACATGAACACAAAATTCCTCCATCTGTAATGATGCCCCGAAGACCAGCTGTCTGAAATTAACATACAACTATATATGCCTTAAATTATTCACCACATTTAGATTTCACAGTAAAAGAACAAAGAAAGAAAACACATATTCAAAAATAAAAATAACTTTGGAAGCAAAGAGCCACCTTACTACTAATTGTACCCATGTAAACTACTGGAACCCCATCAAGCAAACCGGTGTCAAAGAGCTCTTTAACTGTCACTGGACACCTATTAAGAGCAATTTTTTTTGACATTTTAAACTCCAAATCATTCCTTGAAGTCGTGAAGCCACTATCTTCGGTTGCTTCATCTCCACCAAAATTTGATACTAACACAGTTTCAACAGTCTGCTGTTGGCACTGCAAACTGTCTATTGCTTCAATCTTTGGTTTCAATAATGATCGTTTCGGCCGCTTCAGGGTCTTCAAGAGTAAATCATCATTATCAGTATTGTCAACAATCTGCATTGAAGATCCTTCGTAACCTCCTTTGTCAACCCGACATTTCTTAAGCTCCTTCATTGACTCCTCTTTAGACAAAACCATTCCCAAATTACTACCAGGCACGTTAGAAAGCCTAGATTGAACAACAGGCCTACCATCACTTCCAATTTTCTGAACTACAAGGTTACCTACAATAGCATTTTCTCCAATAATACGGCTCTCTTCAATCAAAGCATCTACAAGTGGACCCCCTTCAACAAAATCTCGATCAACTAAGCCCTTACCAACAACATTATCTCCGACTACATTTTCCTTTCCCGGTCCAACTCCAATCACACCTTCGATTACATTACTCTTCACCTCGCTTGCTTCTTTCAAAGATCTATTCTTCTGATCATCATCAATTAAACACTCTTTAACACAATTCATCGGCTTATTAAAGTCCTTGAGCTTTATGTTTCCCAAGTTCTCCGAAAAATCATCACGGCCATTAATTCTTGACTTTTTAACTCGAGTGTAAACAATGTAACCATTCACTTGAGTACCTTTAACTCTTTTACAACTAATAGCAGAACTGTCCTGAGTTTGAATCTGAATCACTGAGTCCCGAGTTGGAAGGAGTGAAACCTCCAATCCGTAATCCAACTCCCGCTTCATGCCTCACTCACTTCACTCTCAAAATTCACTTAAATTCTGCTAGAGAAAAAATAATTAAAATTTTAAAAAAATCAAATAAAAACCAGAAAATTAGAGAAATTAAGCAGCAATGGAGTGAAGGATTTTACCAAATATGCTCAGATAAAAGCCATGAAAGATTGATTTTGAGTGAGAAGTTGAAGATCGGATTCGAAGAGGTTTATGTTTTTCGATTTAGTCTTCGCCAATTTAGAAGAGAAACTGAAATTTTTGAGCGTTTTTTTTTTTGGGGTTGTCGTTGGGAGGTTAAACCGACCAGCTAGAGAGAGTAAAATGAGATGGGGTTTTGTTCAGAGGAGGAGGCAAATGGCAGGATCCGTAAATAATACAAAGTTGGAAAGGTCATTCGTATTGTCGATTTTAGCCCTATTTGAGTTCCAAGTTTACAATGTAGCCCTCGCTTGATTTTAAAGGAGTGTGGTCCAAGCCTGTTAGTATGTGGTTGTTAAGGCCTTGTAGGCCCACTGTTTTTTTTCCTCCGTATTTTGAATCTTCATTATGGTGTAAAATTTTATAATCAAGTTTAATAATAATAATCTATGATACTTGAAGAGGGGAGTAGATCATGAGTGAAAAAGATGCCATGTTTAAAAGTGAACAGGAAATAACACGAGAATGAAAAGGGGAGTGGATCACACATTTTAATAGAGATTGGTATTTAAAAAGTGAAAATAAAATTGTATATTTTCTTAATTTCTTTCTTTTACCTTTTTCCCCTGATCTGAATATGATACCATGTTCTGGGTGACACCAGCAGCAGCAGCATTCTTTTGTTCCATGGAACACACAACTTCGATACTCTTTTGTTTTCATCTTTTACTTTGTTGAATCATATGTACCGACATTTAATACAAATATAACGTAAGATGAATTCAAACTTATTCGATTAATTTAATAGTAAAAGTAAATGTTATTCTTTCTAAAATTTTTGAATTTGATCATCTTTTACTTTGTTGAATCATATGTACCGACATTTAAAACAAATATAACGTAAGATGAATTCAAACTTATTCGACTAATTTAATAGTAAAAGTAAATGTTATTCTTTCTGAAAATTTTGAATTTGAGCAACTGTATCTGTAAAGCATATGTGCATTATGAATAGACTAAAAGATTCTATAAATAGATACTACCTTGTAATCAACTCAGACTATTAAAAATCATAAGAATACTTTAAGAAAAATCATTGGGTAATCTGTGTATTTTCTTAAAATCATTGTGTGATCCGAACATCTTAAATATTCATATTTTTTATGATGCAACACATATCATATCATCACTTTAGGTGACGTGGCATGTGATATATTAGCAATTAAACATACGTGAAAATATCAATGTGTGTTGACCGTTAGTCAATTGATATTTTTCACCTAATATGGAATATTAACGTTAAAATTAAAATGCTAAAAAATCAAAACGATTACTTATATAAATGTCGGAGGTTAATTTTATCATTAAATCTTTATAATATTAATAATAATCCTAACATTTAAATTTTCAAATCGAATATAATTATAAATAAGAAAACTAAAATATACTCGAATATAATAAAAACTTTAAATGAATCACATTACAATAATGAATTTGACTCTCTCAACCAAAATACCACTTATTAATTAAAAAGTCTGGAAACAACAAAAGAAGGAAATTGATCAAAATGGAAAATTTATATCTCCCCGAAAAGACATTATAATTATTTTGCAAGGCAACCAGTGGAATCATGGTTGTCGCCGGCAGCTGGCTTAGCACACCGTTGAGTAGTGTAGAAGAAAGTACCGAGTTGATATTGAACCAAATCGCGATATAAAACGGTAGGCCGGTTTGGAAGATTGACGCCGGTAAGTCCTCCGGCGAAGTTGGTGGGAATGTTGCAAGTAGCATGTGGGAAGACACAGCCTAATAAAGCATGATTGGGGTTGCAATTCTTTGCCATTAACTATTTGTTGACAACCATATTGAAGTTCCCTTCTTCGTCGATACTTTGCCACCTGCCAATCATTCATTTCAAAATTTAGGAGGAAAATGCATTATTATTTACTAAAAAAATAAATATGCTAATAGATGAAATGATGTAAAATGAGAGAGAATATAATGAAAAGTGTAATGTTAATGGAGGAAAGGAAAGAACCTTGAATGGGATGGGTGCCTCGAGTCCATTCTGCATAGCTTTTGGTGCAGTCGTGGCACATGACTTTGCCTCCCAGATGTATAAGCTGGAGAGCAGGAACCCCCGTGGCTACTGCGCATCCCATCAGAAACGAGGCCGCGATTAACATCATCATCACCACCTTTGTTGCCATTTTAATTTCTGTATTTTCTTGAGGAAACGACACATATATATAGGATTTAGGGGTGGAAGGGCACTACTTGAGACGTGCAATCCATATTTCATTAGATTATATATATTAATATATATATATATATATATATATATATATATATAAAAGTCAAATATGATGAATTGTTTAAATCATGATATACTAAGATAGGCTCAAGTGTTTTTGACATGAAGAGGTTGAGGCTTGTGGAAAGAAAACAATAAAATAACCCTAAACTCGTTTGTTGTTGTATATTCCATACCATTTTTTTGTTTTTTAAAGGTGTTTGAAGTTTATATAATATTTTTATAATTTTAAACTATTTATTGATGTGATATATAAACAGATAATATTATCAACAATATATAAAACATGAAGCAATAAAAAGTTGAAAGAGAGATGGTGAATGAAGCAATAATAAAGATGAAATCCTTTGTTTTTCTGCTCTAAACATATTTTAGGGGAGCAATTCACGGCCGGCCTATCTATTCTCTCTGTAAAGTTAACCATCAAAATCCTCCCACTTGGCTTCTAAAAAAAGGTTGGTTTTACAGTAAACCAGCTGAGCTGAGGGCGGCTTTGAAGCCCTCCTCATCTCTCCAGCAGGAACCTGCATCCAACGTCACATACGAAATGAACGCCAATCAGATGAAAATCAAAAGTAGCAGCAGAAAACAGGAGAACCTAGAAATTAATTAAAAATCAAGCATTCAACCAACCATTGTTGTACAAAGGCATGCATTCCACTAAATTGTAATTGTAGCTGCTTTATTGCCCTTACAGGCCCTTTATAGACAAAAAAAAGTAGATACTCAAGCTCAATAAGATCAAAATATTAGCAATTCCAACGCATTGGCATTCTTCAAAATATTGAACAAATGTGCAATCTATTCAACAATCTTAATATAATTAAATGTAAAGTCGGCATATAAATAAAGAACACGGCACATTCTAAACTGAATTCAAAAGTAGCAGCAGAAAACAGGAGAACCTAGAATTAATTAAAAATCAAGCATTCAACCACCATTGTTGTACAAAGCATGCATTCCACTAAATTGTAATTGTAGCTGCTTTTTATGCCCTTACAGGCCCTTTATAGACAAAAAAAGTAGATACTCAAGCTCAATAAGATCAAAATATTAGCAATCCAACGCATTGGCATTCTTCAAAATATTGAACAAATGTGCAATCTATTCAACAATCTTAATATAATTAAATGTAAAGTCGGCATATAAATAAAGAACACGGCACATTCTAAACTGAATAACATTTAGAACACATCTTTAGTACAAACCTGGCAATGAGAACTTCTCTTTTTAATATCCTTCATAATCTTTAAATCCATCATGCGGCAAACAAATGTATCAAACAATTAGTTCATCTAACCATGGAATTTACTCAACCTGTTAGATCATATTCTCCAGAACAAATCATTTACAACGAACAGGCCATTCCATTCACTCCCAAACAGAGAATTTAATAAATACAATAAAGAAATTCTCTTGGAAGTCTTGGTAGCAGAGAGGAAAACAGTTACTTGATAGAATATCCATCCTACCATTCACTTAATCTTAAATTCCTTTCACTCCACTCGTTGAACCCTATTCTTGTTATCATGCTAGGCAAAACCTGTATTTCTATAACTCAAATCCTACCAAACAACTACCACAACCATGCTCAAACACTATAATAATAATAATTAAAACAAACAATACTACAAACAAATAGCTAAGGCATCTATTAATACTGCAACGTCATTAGAAAGAAGTCTCAAGATGCCTGCTCTCATAGACAAAAACAAGCTTAACTACAAAAAAAGCACATGTAAAACATTTTCTCTGCCTATACAGCAGAATCAACCAAACTAAGTTTCGTTTATTTAAGTCACTTAAGTTTCTGTTTTGCTATTTATGTCCTTTAAATTCTGTTTTAGCTCTTTTAGCCTTTTAAAGTTTCTGTTTTTTACCATTTAATCCTTTAAGTTCATGTTTTTTGTTAGATCTATTATTCGAGTAAAATAATTTCTTTAATTAATTAATTTGAAGCAAGTTAATCAATATTTAATAAATTGATCATATTTTAACTTGATATTTGATTTAGGATTTCTACCATTACGACAACGTGTAGCGAAACAGTACCAATTTTGGGCGTTGTGGGGGTGTTAATTCCTTCCCACGTGTAATCAACTCCCAACCCGTTTTAATCGAATCTTTGGTAAACGCAGACCAACTTTTGTCTTAAAAAAAGATTTTTCTTAAATTGTTTTTAAAAGACGTTTTTAGGTATTCGACATACCTAACTCAAAGGTCGATGGCGACTCTATTCAATTTATCCAATTTAATTCAAATCACCCATTTTCCAAAATTAAAGTTCGAACTGTTTTTAAAATAATATTTAATTGTTCCACCCTAAAAACAGTTATGACAATCATATAACAGCGACTAAATCTCTTGAAGTATCACTATCCCCCGAATATAAGATCTATAAACTTTTTAAAAATGAAGTTAATCTGAATTAGAATGAAATGAGCATATTCGGTGAACATTCGATGATCACTCAAACAAAGTATTCTTTCTCAGAGATAACGATCGCTCGATCATAAATTACATCGTTATCATTCTCATTTTCAATTGAGGTAGCTCTATCAGATGGAGTAATTCGAAGAAACTCGATATTTTGTTTCAACTCTTAAACATAAAAAACATATGAAATGAATTTGACGATGGCTTGTTTTATTCCAAGCCACCAATAAAGTTCACGAATATCTCAATACATCTTAACTTTTTCAGGGTATACCTATAATGAGCTTCACGTAGAATATCATACTTTAATTTAAAATTATCAGATACATAGACTCGATTTATAAAATAAAGAATTCCATCAAAATTAATAAAGAATGCAAATTCAGAATCATTACTCATCCAACCAAAGATGACTTTTAACTTAGTATTGAAGGGTTGAAGTTCTTTAATTATTAAAATGAAGGTAGACTAAACTCAAATTCCAGCTAAAAGGCTTGCATTCCTCTGTACATGGAGATGAACATTCATAGCTCTCAAAACTAGAAACAAAGGATTTTCGATTTATTTATAAGATAAAATATATGATGAAATACGTAGAGGTAAAGTTTACATATTATCATTCAAGAATTTATGACTTAGTGCTTCGATTACTGAATCGTAATCCTTCAAAAACTTTATCCAGTGCCTCTAATAAAGATTCAATTTTCTTTGAGTCATCAGATATTTAAGATTTTTATGATTTTAAACACGTGATATTTCTCACCATAGAGATAGTGTCTTCAAGTCTTAAAAAAAATATTATCACAGCTAATTAATGTCGCGAATTGAATAGTTTAACTTATGGCTTTAACTGTCGAGATTCATAAGTTATTTCTTTATTGCATCAAGACACAACCTAAATCGTTGTGTGATGGGTAACTAAACATTTGTGGAGTTAGTTAATGGAATAACTATTATAGATGACACTTTAACGAATCTCTTACAATAACTAGCTATGTCCAAAAAATAGTGAATCTTACTGACGTTTTTTTTTAGAGATTTTTAATATTAAAATTATTAGATTTTATCACGCATAAAATGTGAATGAATGAAAATATTTTATATAATCTTTTTTTTTAAAACAAATAAATAAACATAGATGAAATAAAAAATAATTATATAAAAATAAAACTTTATATTTAACATTCAAGTAACAGATTTTATTTCACCTAAGCGTTATATAAATATATTATAGACTAAATATTATTACAATAATATTATTATTTTTAAAATAAATATCTTAATAATTAATTGGTACAATTAATGCATGATGCGTACTTAATCCAAACTTGAACATAATATAAAATAGGGTAAATTATAAAGTTTGTTACTTTCATTTGAGTTTTATAAACTTATAGTTATCGGATTCAAAAACACAATACATAATCACTTTCTTTTTATTTTAATTAAGATGTTACAACTGAAATGTTTACTCTCGTTAGTTTGATGATGTGTCACGTTAGTAAAATGGTATAATTTTTACTTTAATTTCTAAACTTTAGATAAATACTAATTAGGGACCATTTTATAAATTCAAAGTAATTTAGGGACAGAGTTCTAATTTACCCTTTTTTGATATACTTTTCTTCTTCCCCTAGCTTCCCCAGTTGCGCCGCCGCACACTCCTTTCTTGCTGTTCATCTTCTTCGTTTAAATGATGATTGTTTTCGATAATATATATATATAATATATATATTTTTTTCTATGAATAACCAACAATGAAATCAGACAATCAGTTTGTTTCTGGACAGAAAAGCCAACAAGTAGTATAATACTTATACAGGCAAGTGTCGACTCCTGTGCAAATTTGAAGCTGGGGATGAGTAACCTCCAAATAGCCAAAAAAAAAATGACAATAAACAAGACAAAAAAATAAGCTTTTAGCATCCATTTAAATTGCTCCAGCAATCTGCTAAGCCTGCCATGTTATAATGGCAATGGCAAAATTTTCAAACCTCTCAACAAAAGGCAAAGGAACGAAGATATATAATTCAAGAAATGATTCCACACCAAGAACAGTAGAACACCGAGAAACATCTTAAAGCTCAAGCTAGCTAATTACGAAACATCAAGTACTAAGGATTTTAGCATTGAAAATGTCAATCAAGTAAGTAAACGCTTACGTAGGATACGGAAGAAAACATGGTGGAAAAGGATGGGAATACAAGCAGCACACCCTGCAGCGTAACCCACAATCCAAGTGGACAATGGAGCTTGTGGCTTCTCATTCCTGGAAACTGCTAGAACAGCTACTGATGCAACAATCTGACTTATAGTGAAAACTAGTCTAATATAAAACCAAAGCAAAAGTTGGTCGTTTAAACGAAGAAGATGAACAGCAAGAAAGGGGTGCGGCGGCGCAACTGGAGAAGATAGGGGAAGAAGAAAAGTAATAAAAAAGGTAAATTATAACTTTGTCCC